CCCACCTCCTCCCTGCATCCCCCTGACCCCTCGTGGCACTTGCAAGGGCCCCACGTCCACCCTGAACCCTGCACAACAACTCACCTTGGCCACCCTGCAGGTGTCTTGGATCTCCTGACACGGGTGAACGAGCCAGAGGAGCTGCTCCCAGACGTGCTCTTGGTGCCGCTCCTCTTGCAGGAGAACCTCCAACATGGCAGCCACAGCCCCAAGGACGGCCTGTTTGTCCTGGAGAGGATGGCAGAGGCCCGGCATCAAAGACTGAAGGTCTGCCCTTCCTACACAGAGGGCTTTCCCTTCCCCTTCCCCATACCCCCACGGCCAGCAGGAGATGGGCTCGCTCTGGAGGGCAGGTTGAGCTTTTCCCCATCCCCTCATCCCCAGCTCTTCCTGCCACAGTGCTGTGACATGCAGCTGCTCCCTGGCACAGAGCCACTTCAGGGCCCTTTGCAGAGCCAGCCCACTCCCTCTCATCACCCCTCAGCTCTCAGCCCACTGGGCACAGACAGAGCTGCCGACATGGGTGCCCCTGCTGCCATCCTGGGCTGGGGATGCAGCAGTGCTCACCTGTTCCTCCTGGCAGTCTTGCCAGTTCCACACCACAGAGAAGAGCAGCTCGTGAAGGTTTTCATAGGTCTGCTCTTTCTCCATGGCAGGCCAGGGGCATTGCGTTCCTGAGGACAAGTAATTCTTGACTCCATCCAGCCACTGTTTCAAAACTGAAAAAACAAAATAATTTAAAATATATATATATATATTTTTAAGATATATATTTTTTTTAAGAGAGTGAGAGAAAACGGAGTCTGTGAGAGTCTGCAGCAGGGCTGCTCTGGGGCCGGCACTCACCAGCACAAGCGATGCGCAGGATCTGGCCACTCTTCACCTGGCCCACCACACTGCGCAGGCCTGCCAGCATCAGCCACACAAAGGGGATGCACTGCGGAGCTGCAGAGAGGAAGGAGAGGGCCACAGTCAGAGTCCTGGCAGCGAGGGAGGAGGGGCTGCAGCCCTGCATCCCCCAGCTCAATGCAGATCACACGCGGAGGGCAGAGACCCCTTTCCCGGCTGTTATAGGTGTCAGGAGGTTGAGGGTACTCTACCATAGGTGCTGAAGAGTTTGCTCAGGGTGATGAGCACCAACTCCTTGCACATGTCCCCCGTGGCCTTCAGGTGGCTCTGGAGCTCAGCCATCACCAAGGTGAAGTGCGTCCGAGCCAGAGCCACCAGGACATTGCTGGCAGCTGTCTTGACATTGCTGGTCACGCCCTGGAAGAGAGTCACTGGTGACGCGCGGCCCAGGAGACTGCCTGAGGCCCTTGGAAGAGCAAAGCCACCACCATCCGCCAGCAGAACACCAGCGTGGGCAGGCGGTTCCCTTTGCCCTTGGCAGTGAGCCCTCACCTGGGCTGCCGTCAGGTCCCGGGACACCTCTGCCAGCAGCCGGTTCACCACTCCGCACGGCGGGCGGCTGCTGTCTTGGCACAGGGCGCTCTCCAGCTCACAGTACGCCTGCGCTCGGTCACCCTGGGGACAAGGATCAGTCACGCTCGCTTTGCCCGCTGCCACCCATCGCTCGGTGGATGTGCTGCCGGGCCTGGCACCCACGGCACTGTGGCGCTGGAGGGGCCAGGAGGGCAAGGGTTGGTGGCTGGATGTGCCCAACTCACCTCCTGATCTTGCAGGCGCCGAAGCAGTAAGGTCGCGGCGCAGGTAGGGACAGGGCTTGACACCCTGCTTCTCTCCCTGCGACGCGTACGCCTGGGCACGCAGCCCACACAAGCAAAGAGACCTGGAAGGAAAGAGCAGAGCAGCTGCTGCAGGTGTTGCTTGGAGCCAGGGCCGAGCACCCGGCCAGCTGTGGGGGGAAAACGCTCCTCCAGCCCCACAGCGCGAGGCTGCGTGTGGTTGGCGGGGGCAGGGGAGGGAGCTTTCCCCTTGCTGGGGTACTGGGGAAACCACGGTGAGCAGCTGCACTCGGCAGAGCAAGGACAGCGCTGCTGGCACGTCCTAAACAGACACTGGAGGCACACGTGTGCCCGGGCAGCATCGTGGTGTCCAGAGAGGTGGAGGGACTCACCTCGAAGGGCTCTCAGCCTCTCCATGATAGCAGGATGCCTCCAGGTAGACGCAAAGCTCTCTCTGGTTCCACTTCCTGCGGGTCCCACAAGCGGACTGAGCCACCGCTCCCACCGCTCCACAAGGGTGGATGAGGCGGCCACTGTGACACCACACTGCAGTGTCACCTCACAGAGAATGAATGACACGCCCCGGGCTGGGGAGCAGGCAGGTCCCCAGGGCAACCCTGCAGGCCCTCAAACACAGCACGTTTGTGTGATGCAATCGGCTCTGGGGTTCCGGTTCCATGCTGACGCAGGGAATGACCTCAGCGGGTGATGGAGAGCCCCTGCCAGGGAGCAGCTGCTGGGCACCGTTGCCCGGCGTTGTCTTAGTGATGGGGGCTCCATGCCGGGAGGCACTGAGGCCCCCATCTGCTGCCCGACAACCTCTCCACAGAGCTCTGCTGTCCACTGGGGGCACGTGTCAGAGATGTTAAGGAGACTCCACCGCATCTGACCAAACAAGAACACCACCATCTGCTTATTGTCATCCAAGTAGGGTCATGGGAGGCTGCCACGAGGAAATGGCAGAATATCAGAAAGAGACTTTGCATGCCATGGAAAGACACTAAAGGGATTGGGAGCACCAGGAGTGCTCTTTTCTGTCCTTCTGACTGGAGGCTGGGTCGCAGAAGGAAGGAGGAGAATAAAGGTGGTAAATTCTTGGCTGATTACTGGGATGGTGTTGGGATCAAGGTTTTGTGTACCTTGATCTTGGACAGGTGTGTGGGCATGAGATGGAACACAGCTGAGCAGTTGGGGCCAAAGTGTTCTGGAAAGCAAGTGGGCTAGATTGATTAAACCACATTTGATGGAGGAATGGAATGGAGTTCCTTGTGAAATGAGGAAAATAAGCTAGGTTAGAAGTTGTATGCCTTCATGAGGTGCTGAATTGGCAGCTACAGATCTGACCTTTCTAAGCCAGGTTTTCGCTGCCGATAACAGATGCTTTTATACAGACCTAGAGAGTTAGTGCGGACAGCGAGTCTCCTGTTTCTCCAAATAACACTGTTAGCTATCCCATCTCTGGAGTGCAAGGCAGCAGGCTGGGCAGTAAACCACAAATTAACAAAGAAGCAGTGGATTGGTGGATGAAGTTGATGCTGATAAGAGGACCGTTCAGAGCCAGGCAAGCATCCTCCAACTCCACCCAGGTCAAAGAGTACACAGCCAGGAAGACAACAGCCTTCATCAGAAAGACCACCAGATGACCAGGGAGAAATGCCTCACATGCATGAAAGAACTGAGACTCAGGGCGGGGAAAAATGTCAATCATTCTGGGGACTCACGGCAATAAAACAACCTTTTCTTGGACATCCAATGCATATGTGAGCAGCTTGCTCTTTAAGCATGTGCCTTTCTTGACTTCCCATACGCAGGCTAGGAGGCAATACCCCCCTGCATCCAGCATAGGTGCGCAGTTCTGAGTGAACATGCCTGCTTTATGACTGCTCTGTGGTGATAGACTTTGATTCCGCGTGTCACTTGCAACAGAGAAGGGCCTGGGAATGATGTCTTCTAAGTAAACTGTGGAGAGAAACCTCCAGTTGTCCAGTAGGATCTTGTGAGGACTCCTCAGGGAAGACAACGTTGCCAAGAGCCTGGTTTAAATCTTCCTGCATCCCTCTAGAGATTCCTGCACCCTCTGCTTCCCTACAGTGCCTGTATAGCAATGCACACTATGTCAGGAATAAACAGGAAGAACTAGAGATCTGTGCGTGCTTACAGGGGGGTGATGTCATTGCAGTCACACATGAGACATGGAGGGACCTGAGTCTGTTCATCCTGGGGAAAGGAGGGCTGAGGGGGGATGGCATAAATGTTTGTGAATATTCTGGGAGTCCTGGTGGATGAGAAATTGGATATGAGCAAGCATCATGTGCTTGAAGCCTGTAAGCAACTATATCCTGGGCTGCATTAAAACAGGGGAGGCCAGCAAGGAAAGAGAGATGGTAGTCCTCCTGTACTCAGCTCTTGCGAGGCCCCGTCTGGAGTACTGCATCCAAGGCCTGGAGCCCCCAGCACAAGAAATATGCAGAGCTCTTCTATCAGGTCCAGAGGAGGGCCGCTAAGATGATCAGAGGACTGGAACACATCTCCTACGAGGAAAGGTTGAGGAGATGCTGTACCTTTAGCAGATGGCGCTCAAACTCGGCAGTGTCCGGGAAGCTCTCATCTTTCCCTGCACAGCAATAGGAAGACAAAGACCCTTACTTGGGATCAAGGCACAGAAGAAGAGCTGCTGCAAACCTGGCTTGGCCTGGGCACTTGACACTGCCAAGCTGGGACCTGCACCCCCTCCACAGTGACCTGTCCCTCCCCACAGACACTGTCCCCACAGGAACAGGGAACTAAGTGCTCCAAGGCTGCTGTCTGAGGGGATGCGAAGGGCCCATTCGTGTCCTGGAACAGGCAGATGCCCAGGGGGATAGGTCCCCGAGCCTCAGTGCTGTCTCCCAGGAATGGGAACAGCAGCAAACCAGGCACTGGATTGCAGACAATGCTCCCCCTCTGCCACTCTGCAGAGCTGCATTTTCACTGCCCCCTTCCCTGCCTACACTTCTCCCTCCCCACCAGCACTTTATCTTCGAGGCACTGCAGCAGCAGGGGGATCTCTGCTGAGATGGCCCCCACAGCTCTATGGAACCTGCTGTGAAGGTTTTTCATCAGTAGTAAGGCAGCAGCTTGGAGTTTGCTGCCTGCAACAGGGCTGCCTGCCACCACCTGAGTGAGAGCAAGGAGAAGCTGGGTCACTTCTGCAGCAAGAACAGCGGCTTCTGCCAGGAGGGAAGCAGCTTGGCTCTGCCCATGGCTATGCTGCTTCCTCCTGGGTGCTCGTGGCACTGGCCTCTGGAGCATGTACTCACCAACAGGCACACCAGGTCTGGGGCGTCAGCAGTGGGCCTATGAAGAGAAAGAAGTGCTGAGTAAGACTCCAAGACACTCCCTGCCTTGCCATGGGCACCTCCGCTGTCCCTTCTGGGTGCTACCACAGGTCAGCAGAGCTCACTGGGGGAGTTTTTGCTTCTACCTTGAAACATGGAGCTGACAAAATGGGGATCCAGATGTTCTATGCGCCGTCCTGTCAGCTCCTCTCTCTCAGCCAGGGCACAGACACAGCGGGAGACTGGGATCAGCATGCCTGTGTACTGCGCTGGCACCACAAACAACAGCAGCCGCGGCCACAGGAGCTGTAGGGAACGAGGCAGTGGAGCAGGTCAGCATTCCTGCCTCTGCTCAGAGAGGAAGAGGACTCTGTGAATTTCCCCGAGTCCTGTGTGCTTCAGAGGAGAGACCTGGGGTCTTGGAATGGGACGAGGAACACGTGGTGCAAGGGCAGGGAGCAGCAGCAGGGCAGAGCGTGACTTACTTTGGACATCCCTCTCACAGAGACGTCCAGTGATCCCAGGATGTCCATGCACAGCTCCTGGAGAGCTCCTTCTTCCTGGGCTTCCCGGGCAGAAAGGTCTCCGGCTGCCTGCACGACAGTGGTGTTGAAACACTGGTTATGCTCAGTTCTCAGGAGCCTCTCAGGAGGCTCAAGTGTGGCCCCAGCGGTGCTTCTGTGCCACCCTCTGAGCAGCACGGGTCTTCCAAAGGAAGATGCTGCCCACTGTCCTTACCCTTCTTCCTGTGGTGTGGCTGAACTCACTGAAGGTTTGCCAGGGTCAGAGACGTTAGGGAGATTCTATCGCATCTGATCAAACAAGAAGACCACCATCATAGAATCATAGAATCATAGAGTCCTAGAATCACAAGGTATCAAGAGTCCTACAAGATCATCTAGTCCAACCATCATCCCATTACCACTCCTACCACAATCTACCATATCTCATAGCTCCTCATCCGGATGCTTCTTGAACACTGCCAGGGACGGCGACTCCAACCACCTCCCTGGTCAGGCCATTCCAGTGCCTGACCACTCTCTGAGAGAAAAAGTTTTTCTTATGTTTAATTTAAATCTCCTCTGGCACAACTTGTGGCCATTTCTTTGGGTCCTGTTTGTTGCCAGGGAGAAGAGGCCAAACCTCTCCTCATCAAAACCTCCCTTCAAGAAGTTGTAGATTGCATTGAGGTCTCCCCTGACCTTCCTCTTCTCCAGAATAAACAATCCCAGATCCTTCAGCTGCTCTTTGTAAGATTTGTGCTCCAGACCGCTCACCAGTTTCATTGCCCTTCTCTGGACACATTCCAGGGCCTCAATTTCTTTCTTGTAGTGAGAGGCCCAAAACTGAACAATACTAGAATACATGATTCTTGAAGATGCAGCCTCACCAGTGCTGATGATGACCTCCCTGCTCCTGCTGGCCACACTATTTCTAATGCAATCCAGGATGCCACTGGCACTCTTGGCCACCTGGGCACACTGTCAGCTCATGTTCAGCTGAGCATCAACCTACACCCCCAGGTTCCTTTCCTCTTCACAGTCATCCAGCCACTTGTCCCCAAGCCTATAATGCCACATTGGGTTAATGTAGCCAAAGTGCAGGACCCAGCACTTGGCTTTGTTGAACCTCATCCCATTCACCTCAGCCCAGTGATCCAGCTTATCCAGATCCCGCTGAAGGGCATCCCTACCCTCAGGCAGATCAACACTACCTCCCAATTTGGTGTCATCTGCAAACTTACTGAGGGTATGCTCAATCCCCCTCATCTAGGTCATCAGTAAAGATATTAAACAAGATAGGCCCCAGTACCAACCCCTGGGGGACACCACTTGTAACGGGTTGCCGTTAAGCTGGACTTAACTCCATTAACTATTACCCATTGGGCACAGCCTTCTAGCCAGTTCCATACCCAAAGAAGGGTATACCTGTCTAGTAGCCACGGGCAGCCAGTTTCCCCAGGAGAATACTGTGAGAGACCATGTCAAAGGCTTTGCTGAAGTCTAGGTAGACTACACTGACAGCCTTTCCCTCGTCTACCAGTCTGGTCACCCAGTCATAGGATAAGATGAGGTTGGTCAAGAATAACCTGCCTTTCATGAATCCGTGTTGGCTGGGCCTGATCCTCTGGATGCCACGCATGTGCTGTGTGATCTCACCCAAGATGATTTGCTTCATAACTTTCCTAGGTACCGAAGTCAGGCTGAGAGGCCTGTAGTTCCCCAGGCCCTTCTTATGGCTCTTCTTGTACATGGAAGTCATATTGGTAAGCCTCCAATCCTCTGGGACCTCTCCAGACAACCAGGAGCTCTGGTAGATGGCAAAGAGTGGCTCAGTAATCAACTCTGCCAGCTCCCTCAGCACCCTAGGATGGAGCCCATCCAGTCCCATGGACTTGTGACAGTCCAGATGGAAGAGGAGCTCTCTAACTGTCCCCACCTTAATCATAGGGTTGTATTCTAAGAACCCGCCCAGACTTCCAGATCAGGGTGTAAAGTGCCCTGAGGATAACTGATCTGACTATTAAAGGCAGATGTAAAGAAAGCATTGAGGACCTCAGCCTTTTCCTTATCCTCAGCAGTCACATTCCCTGCTGCATCAAGTAAAGGTGGAAGTTCTCCTTGGTTCTTCTCTTACCACTGATATATCTGTGAAAGGATTTCTTATTCTTTTTTACTGCAATGGCCGATCTGAGTTCAAGTTGGGCTTTTGCCTTCCTAACTTCCACTCTGCATACCTTAGCAACATCTTTGTAATCTCCCCAAGTAGCCTTTCCCTTTTTCCAGAGGACATAGGCTCTCTTTTTCTTCTGAAGTCTCAACAGTAGTTCCCAGTTCATCCACCATCTGCTTGTTGTCATTCAAGTAGGGTCATGGGAGGGTGCCACGAGGAAACGGCAGAACATCAGAGACTTTGCATCCTTTGGAAAGACATAAAAGGGATTGGTAGAGACCTCAATGTGGGCTTCCAGTACTTAAAGAGAGCATATAAACATGAGGGAGAATGACTGTTTTCATGGGCTGATAGTGATAGGATAAGGGAGAATGGCTTTAAACTGAGACAAGGAACATTTAGGTTAGATATGAGGAGGAAGTTTTTCATTCACAGGGTGGTAATACATTGGAACAGGTTGCCCAGAGAGCTTGTGGATGCCCCATCCCTATAGGCATTTAAGGCCAGGCTGGATGTGGTTCTAGGCAGCCTGGTCTAGGGACTGGCGACCCTGCCCACAGCAGGGAAGCTGGAACTAAATGATTAAGGTCCTTTTCAACCTAGGCCATTCTATGATTCTATGATCAAATACGGAAATAGATTCTGAAGTTATGTTGTGGGAAGTCAATACTTATTCTTCCCATAGTTGTGCCCCCTGATTACATATACTGCCTTTACAATTAAACAATATTTAGCAAGAAATGTCCATGGTATATATACATATACATATATATATATATATATATATATATATACATATGGCTGGATGGCTTAGACCTTGGAGAAGGGCAATCAAACTATTAACTCCTAGCTCCTTACGTCAACCTATTTATTACTCAGCTGTTGGTTAAAACATTCATTTTGGAACATATATTCACATTTGTTCTTTTAGAAATGATTTTATTTATTTGTTTGTTTGTTTTTATTTATTTTGATGGAGAAAGTTCCTTACTAGAAGAAAATGAAAAGATTTTTAAAAAGGGAGGGAGAGGGGGAAGAAAATTTCTGTTTAGAAAATTTATTTTCAGAAATTCCATTTTATTGAAAATCCACTAAACAGTTGAAAATTTACTTTGATAGTACCTTTTGACTAGCTCTAAAACTGACCATAGGGATGAACTATGCAGTGCTGGGGATGATATGATCATGAGTGATCCCAATGAAGTATTAAGAAGCACTATGCTCAGAACTCTGCTCTTTTTTGCATAAGTCGTGAAAAATGACGTGGGTTTTATGTCACTTACCTTGTGCATTCCATTTATTGTTATACAGAAAAGCAAAAATTCATCTGGAAGCTAACATCTTTTTGTCTTCGTTCGGTATTCTGACAGCAGTTTGTGGGTAGAACTTATTTCTAAGCAGTAACTGAGAAAAATAAACATGTTAGTGGAAAATGAGTGGCATATTTATAACACTAACTTTGGATTATTCAAGGACACCTCTGGTAGCAAATACTGCGTAGCTCACTCCAAAAGTAATGCCTCCTGTTTATTTCCACGGAGACAATAACAGACACAAAGAGCACAATAACACTGTTTGATAGAGCAAGTTCTCGTTTACAGAACACTGTTTTTCAACGCCGTCACCACATTAGCATTTTTGACAGCACTGAAGTAGAAACTGCATATCATGCTCATAAAAATATGAGTACCAGTGGAGGTGACCCACAGCTTCACAGTGATTCACCACCCACCCCTCGCTGTGCTCACATTCTCTGGTTGGCCTCCACCAACATTCAGCAAATGTCGTTGAGCATCAGTGGGTGCTGTTGCTCCCCCGTGGAGGAATGGAGGAATTCAGTTCCCACCCCTTTGCTTCATCCACATTTCCATGCCAGACATCCATGCGTCAGACTGCCCCTCTGCTGCCATCTGTCACACGGCAACAACACGTAAGGGGATATTGGTGGGAAAGTTCAGCCTCTTACTGCCATACCACCAACTCTGCATCCGTCCCCGGCTCGCCCCGCCCCGCCCCGCCCCCCCGCTCCCGGCAGGACAGAGGCGGTCCCGCAGCACCGCTTATTTGACCCCGCGCCGGGGGGAATCGTTCTCTTTCTGTCCCGGCTGCAGGAGTGCCCGCTCGCCGTCACCTCCCTCCCCTCCATCCCTTACGCCATGCCGAACATCGTGCTGTTCAGCGGCAGTTCCCACCACGACCTGTCCCAGCGAGTGGCCGACCGCCTGGGGCTGGAGCTGGGCAAGGTGGTCACCAAGAAGTTCAGCAACCAAGAGACCAGGTGTGTGGCGCGGTGGCGGCCGCTGGGGGCGCGCGGAGTCGCCTCTCCCTGCCCACGGCCCCGGAGCGCCGTCTCCTGAGCTCGGTCGCTGGAGCGTAGTATGGGTACGGTCGGGGGTTATGAGCAGTCTTGTGTTTGCGGGTCATATCTAGCTCTCGTGTGACCTTTTCCTGAGCCCCGAAAGTTCACGGTGCAGTTGCTGTGTTGCCTTCATCTTGCAGCTTCCTAGCCTTCATCTAGGCTTAGCTTCCTAGCGAGTGATGTGCTCTTGCTGCCGAGAAGGCTAATGGTATCCAGGGCTCTGTTAGGCAAAGTATTGCCAGTGAGTCAAGAGAGGTGATCATTCCATTCTACTCAACATTGCTGAGTGCTGGCTCCAGTTCCAGGCTCCCCAGTACAAGAAAGATGGTTGTATTGGTAGGAGCCCAATGAAGGGCCACCAGTGTGCTGGAGGCTGGAGTGCCTCACCTGGGAGGAGAGCTGGGGCTGTTCAGCCTGGAGGAGAGGAGGCTCAGCTGTCTATTTTATCAAATTCTATAAACACCTGAATTGTTATTTGTAGGTGCGTAGAGAGGGCACATGCTGCCCAGAGAGGCTGTGCAGACTCTTCCTTAGAAATCTCCAAGAGCTGAATGTCCTAGGTCTGTTCAGCCATGGGCCTGGCGCCCTGCTGCTGGGGCAGGGACTGGAACAGATGAGTTCCAGAGTTCCCTTCCAACCTCTAATGTTGGCTGATTCTGTATGAGCCTACGTTTTTACCTGCTTCTGAAACACCAGTTCCCGCCTCTGGCTAGCCTCTGCAATTATTGTATGTTTATTTTCATCTGTTCTTGTTCTGAATTTCCCAAACAAATGTGTTTGCATTGCTTTCTGTGGAAGATTAATATATTGTGCTCTGAAATTGCTCTCACAGAGCTCTTTGTTCTGTTCAGTCTGTGTTTTTTTTTGTTCTTAGTCAACATGCTCTTGTACTACTTACACCTACTGACAGTATTTTAAGCCCTCTTCGTCTACTATTTGCACCTCCTGATGTTTGCACCCTCTTACTCTTCGTTCCCGATTAAATGAAGTTTTAAATCTCAGATCTTTCCAACCCCATGATCGCTTTATTGATTTTGATCTCTTTTCTGAATGATTAAACTTAACTTGTGTTGTTCATTTGATTGCATGATTTTCATGCTAACTTATTATTTTGTTTGTTTGTTTCCTCTCCAAAGATTCTTATCTTTAGTTCTGCAGCTTGCTAAGTTTTACACAGAGATTCTTTGATTTACATTTTGTCTAAGGTAGAAACTTACCCCCAAAGTTTGCCTATCTAGTTTGATGCAAATGAAATAAATGCCAGGTATCAGGATAGAATAAATTCTCGTCTGCTGTTCTGCTTATTTTTCCTGGTGAGCAAAATTGGTCTCTGCCATCAAGTAGGTAGGTAGTGGTGGCTGCAAGATGTCAGTGGTTTGGCTAATCTGGCAATGCCAGTTTATTTTTCATGGGCAAGTAGGGACGTATTGTGGTATAGATAAGAGGATGGAATCTAATCTAGCAATTATTTCTGGTTGCTTCTGTTGCAGCTTTGCTAAACAGACATGCATTTTTTTTGCTTTTTTTCCCTTTTTCAAGAACTTAATGTCTTAATGCTTACACTCTTAAGTGTTTATTTTCTTGTTCAGCTTCATACTACTCAGATTCTGAAATGAAGCTCATGTTTCCCTTCAGCAAGTACATTTGTACCAACTATGTAAACTATACTGTTAATTTGGAGTGGGTAATCTTTTTAATTTTCTTGAACAACTTATTCAGGATATTTGAGCAACAGCTATTCAGGATATTTGGTCTTTCAGTTTTGTGGACTGACTCTGAGATTTCCTGTACAATATATTTAAAATTAAACTGCAGCTAAAATGTATAAGATATTTATGCTGCAGTGCTCCTTTTCTTGTTTATCATACAGTCTCCTTAGCAAGTTTTCTTAGTGTGTATATAAGCAGAAATTTTTCTTCCCATATAAAAAATAGTTCTTTAAAAGGTAGTACTTGGAAATTTATGTGTAAGGTAATTGGCACTACAAAATACATTGCAGTATTGCAGAATAATGTAATCTAATATTTAAAAGACTTGGAAAATCTTAAGCCTTCCAATGGCTGTCGGGGCAGAACCTTGTGCAAATAAGTAAGCTGTGGCCTAAGGGTTAATTAACTTTTGCTTTATGTCAGATCTGCTAACAAGTTTCAGAGAAGATCCTCCTTTTGTTGAAAATCTCTTTTTTGCTGTTTGTTGCTTTATATTAAAAGTAAATCTGAATAATGTGTATCTTGATAAATGTGTGAAGTCATAGGCTTAAATACATGCCACAGGGTCCAAACTGGAAGCATTTTACTTGAGAACTTCATGTAATCTGGCTTGCAGAATGGAGTGCTTGGAAAGTGATATTAAAGATTTTATATTATATTTTGGCTCAAAGATGCTCTGTGTCCCCATCCTCAGTAGATGCAAGTGATTTTGAAGAACTAAACCCTGAGGTTAGCCAAGGACAGGGCTGCTATTTCTATGGAAAGTGTAACTAAATTAACAGGTGCTTTATCAACTTCAGGAAAACTTAAAATTTTAAGTGCTTGTTGTAATTTATAGTGAGATTATGGCGTCTGTCAGTATGTCTGTTCTCATGTTCTTCAGTCATGCAATATTCCTACAAATTTGGAACTAAGAAATGTCATATCAGTGCTAGAAAAAGTGCTGGAAGTCACAGGTAGCGTTGACAGATGTCCATCATCCTCCGTATATATATATATTTTTTTCTATCTAAGCAACATGGAAATACTTTCCTTCAGCTACCAGAGCAGCTAACCTTAACTGAAGCAGGAAGAAAACTCTTAAATGATATCTGATTGTGGAAGATGTTTCTTTTATTTATAGCTTGTACATTAAGCATGCGTGCAGGCCGCTATGTCATCTTTGGCACCACCCTCTCACTCACCTAGTAAAATGCCAGGACTGCAGTGGGAGCTTAGATTGCCTTCAAATCCCCACAAGGATCTGCCATCAGTGCAGTTTGGAAGGCTGGAGCAAGAGGGCAGGAATGAAACTCTTAAACAGGCACCATGTGAAACTGGCAGATATATAATAGAAACACATAAAGCACACGTGCTGTTTTCACAAAATTGTCTCCAAAGATACTTAGAAGACACCTGATTGTAATAGGTACATAATTAAATGACACTGTATATCACTATGGAGAGATTGTGGAATCTCATTTTGAGGTATTTAAAACCTATGAGGATGGTTTCCTGTGCACCCTATTGTAGGGAACCTGCTTTAGCAAGAGGTGGGACTAGATGATTCCTGCCTACCCCAGCAGTTCTGTGGGTGTGATTCTGTATGTTTAGCTTTCTAAAAGCTATTTATTTTAACTCTTTATTTGAAGTACTTTTATTCTCAAAATGGAGAAATTGGAGTCATAGATTACATCCTCTCACACACTTCTCTCCCAGGGGAGGAGTTGCCTTCCATCCATTCGTATAAGATTCTTAACTTTCAGGCTGAAGTCCTTCTAGTCTCAGCAGACTTAGGAAGAAGGGAACTGGAGTGAATTTGGAGGCTGCCTGTCTGCAGATTTCTTTGGCTGCTGGGGCTGGGTTATTTTCGAATCATCAGCTTAAAGTGTGTGTGGTTCAACTTTACAGAGGAGGCATGTATTGGCTACAGAGAAACATTGTGTACTGTATGAAAACAGCTCTGCTGTTGTTATGAAGGTCATTTGTTTGTAAATGAATACATTTTAGTCCAAGTTACCTGTTTTAATCATGGAATTGAGGAGAAAGTAGCTGATGCTTCCGCAGTTAATTTTTACAAGAATAACCTTCTATTTCAAAATGGGATCATGATCAGTTTGTTATGTAATATAAATCAAGAACAAACCTTTATCAGGAAACATTATCAGTGCTACTTATCATGGATGCACAATTCAAATGGCTGAGATTTTCTTTGCTTGAGAACAGTCTGTAGCGTTTTCTTCCCATTTTCCCCTTGATGCACTTCAACTCTTCTCTTGCAGTTACTGTATATATCTGGGATGCAACTTTGGTATTTTTCCCACTCTAATGTTTGTCTGGGCTCTAGCTGTGGTGCAGGCAAGCTCAGTTGGTAGGATTTGGGGTATTGTGGGATGTGCATCTCTTTTCATACAGCCTAAGTACTTAGCAAATGATTCACACCTGGAGCTGTAACACTCTGCTTGGGGTAGCTGAGTTGGCTGGGTCCCTTACTCCTGGTTCTCACTATAGTGAGCACAGTGAGACTGGAGGAATATTTTTTTACTCATGTGGCTGGTTAGAGTAAGAATTATTTCCAGATTGCATGTTTTGTATGTTTTGCTTACGTAGGAACTCAAGATACAGTTAATATGCTAGTGTACTGTATTGCTAATAGCTCAGACTTACAAAAAGGCCTAAAACTCCTTGAAAGCTCCTGATTTGACACTGCATTATTGAGTTTGTTGTATATTGTGTGCTTCTTATGGAGCCCAGACACATGAAATTAGGAGGGGAAAAAAGAAAGAAAATTGCTTGTGTTTTTTTTTTTTGTTTTGTTTTGTTTTGTTTTTTCTTCACCATTAGGACAGGGACAGTTGGAAATGAAAATCTAGTTGGAGATTGGCCTTGCAATTGTTTGTCACAGCGAGAGAGCCAAGAGCTGAGGAGATAATATAGGTGCCAGGAGGTGTGGAATCCTTACAAACCTACAATAAAAACGCCATGGTTCTTGTTTGCTTTCTGCTTTTGATGTTCTGTTATTGAAATAACTGTGCATAGTTCAGGGGATGGGAGTGAGCAGGAAGATTGCTGAAGAAACTGGGATTCCCCATCCCCTGCCCCAACTGGAATTTGAAAGCATCTGCAGCTTAAATGATCTGATTTTTTATTTATTTATTTATTTATTTATTTATTTATTTATTTATTTTCCCCAAAGGAAATTCCAACATCAAGGAATTTGGGATTTTTCCTGGAATCTCAGCTCAAGTGCTGTGAGGGAGCAAAATCTCACCATAGCCTGTCTCCAAACCAGACAGACTGATGCAACCCCTGTGCAGCTCCACAGGGCTGTAGTTCCTTTCAGCACGCTCTCAGCTGTGCTGTGCAGGACACAGCTGCGCTCAGCTGATCAAGCAGCTCTGCAGCTCTTCAGGAGCTGATGATTGGTGGAGGCGGATCTCATGAATCTGACATTTTTATTGCTTGATACTGATGCAAAATGATGTGTTCATTGTATAACATCATGACAGCTAAAATATTTACTCAATAAATTGGAGGTCTTGCATTAAAGACTTTGCTCTGCAAATTTGTTCACAAAGGTAAAGTTCACGCACACCCCTCTGCTCAGTGCTTCCTATTGGATGCTTTTTGATGACTTGCACATTCAGTACGTGGGTTTTTTCAGATTGCTCTTGAGGTATTGATTCCTCTAGCATGCTGTGTGAGGACTCTAGACGCTTAATTTTGGTGGTATCTGTTAGTTTCAAAAATGTCTGAGGTACAAAGCTCTCTTATTGGCACCTAAGTTGCTTGGCAAAACTTAATTATTACTAGTATTGCTAGAAAACTCATCTGCTGTTATATTTTCTTTTTAGGAAGTACACAGAACCCCTTAGCTGCATGATTTTGATTTTGGACTGAATTCTAGCTGTTGTCTGGTATTATTTACCCATTTAGTGTGGCTTCACATACTTACTTTGCCTGCAGTGTCTTTCTGAGTTATGATATACAAATTTAAAATTCCCAGTGCTATTAATTTAGTTGAGAATGCTCAGTCTGCTGTTATCCCAGTTTTGAATTTTGCTTTATGAATGTTTCAGCCATTTAAATGTTTTATATGTAAGTCATTCTCAAAACTTATCCTTAACGTATGGTTAAAAGTCTGCCTAAGTTTCTGCTTGTTAAATTGAGCTCTGGAATCAGTCTTCATGAGATGAAAATGATTATCAACACTCAAACTTTATTTTCATTATGTCTTGTCTTGCACTCATCTTTCCTGGCTAGCAGCATGTACTTGTGGATTCCGTGCAACTGGATTGAGTAAACTTAACTTTGCTATTAATCTGGGTAGTTTTTACTTTAAAGCACTATTAGGTGATTTCAGGGCTTTTAATGTCCAGGTTCTGTTTACTCTTCTTGAATGAAAAGTTTATGTAAACTGTTGCCAAATAGCTGAATTTGATTGAGTTGCATAAAACAAACAGAGCTTGTAATCTTGAGGCAATAGCTTGTTCTTGCATCCTTCCTCTGTGCCCTGACTATGGGGAATTGTTTAAACAACGGCCCCAAGTGTATTGGCAGTTAATTAGGTCATGATACAGATAGCTGAAATGAAATCTAGTAGCAGTGCTAATATAATAACAAACATGAGGATGTCTGCTGTTAGCTTGTGGTCTTTAATAGAAATTTAAGATGCTTCATACAATATTTGACGTTGTAGTTGATAGTGTCTTGTTGTCTGTCTGTTCAGACCTGAGTGTTTAAGAATAAATAATAAAAAATTTTAAATAGTAGAGATAAGCAGCAGTTGGCTGAGCCTAGGCAATAGCTCTCAATACCTGACTTTAAGAAGGTAGGCAGTGAGAGATATTAATCTGTTGTTTTCTAGTTGATTGGGAGGAGATTTGTGCAATAATAACATTGTTGTTCTCTGGCAGCTATAATTAGATCCCTCTTCAGTGCTATGTACAAGTATTAATTTAAACTTGATTTATTTTAATCTGTACATGCCTTCTGTGTCCACAAGGAAATATATATATATATATTTATATATCTATATATCTATATATTATATATGGATGCGTTTACATTTCTGTGTGCTGAATATGTATGTCTTTTTGACCTGAAAAACATAAGCAAAAAAAAGCAGAAATGCATCAAGAGATGAAGTAGCAACGCTTTTATTTTCTAAGTTGTTTGCAAGATGAAAAAGTTATCCCAAACCCAAGGGCATTGAAAAGACAGTGGTTAATGACAGTGTAAGAAGCATTACTTCAGGGCCATTGTATCAACCAGATCTATATTTATCTCAAAATATATTCCCTTCCCTTTTTGAAACTTGTTATTTCTTAGTGGACTGCTTAGAAATGACTGTTTTAAGGGAGTAAACATTTCAGTATGTTATAAATTCAGTGTTCTTTCTGTATATAATGAACATTAAAATCACATATTTTTGCTTTTCAGCAAAGCTTGTTCCTATTACATAGTGCATAGGAAATTACTGGCTACATCTTTTTCTGCACATATTAAAATTGTGTACTGCCATTCTTTGTCACTCCAGTGACGTTCTTCCATGGAACTGGTAGTATTTTTTTTGTTGCTTTCTACTTACTCCTCCTTTGCAGTGGTTCCTAGGTTAACATCAAGAACAGAAGTATAACTTCATAGTCTTGAAACACCTGTCACAGAGCTTTTGCTATATGATGATGGTCTTCAAACCTATTCCAGAGATTTGATATGTGACAGCACTTGCTTTAAGCAGTTTTGTGCAAGTGCCAAGTAATGATATATATTTTTTTAATCCTCATCATAATAGCTGTAATCATCAATGGCGAGTAAAGCTGCATATGCAAGCTAATGTGTCGATGCTTTACTCATAGCTAAACTTCTGAGATGAGGAGGAATGACAGGTTTCTTAATTTTGTTTAATCTGGGAATTGGACCATGGTACTCCAACAGATCTGTTTTGCACAAGGCTTCTAATTAAGGTTAACATCTTCTTGTCATGGGACTAGATGCTCTAGCTTCTGTCTGGACTTAAATTGTGTTGAATAAAAATCAAGCTAGAAAAATATTTAGGATTTCAGAAATATTTTTAATGTTTTTCTGCAAATAGAGCTATTGCTCAGAGCAAAAACAGTGTGTAACCACAAATTTAATCTCTCCACCTCGATGGGAGCCTCAAAAGATTGGAGAGGCTACCACTGAGCTATCTGAAGATGATGCTGTTTCTCACTGTCTCTATCTTCCTACTTATCTTTACTTGACGTTTTGTTTTCATTTGGCCATAAGAAATTGCGTTGCTAACATCCTTAAGCAAAAAGTTATTAAATTAATGAGATGGAGAGGTTCTTTTTATAAATTGTTTTGGGAATACAAGAACTGAGGACAAGGAGCCACTCATTCTCTCTTTAGTGATCTTGGTTGCTTTCTTCATGGTACCATAGGTAAAGTGAAAATGAAAACACATTGACTTGAATAAAAATTGAAAGCAGAAGAGTGCAGTGAGGCAGAGACTGAACAACAAGATGAGAGTCAGGGAAGTTGAAGAATAAAATGTAATTGGAGAGATAAATAGATTAAATTAGGAGAGAACCACTACTAATGCAAGGAGTCACAGGCAACAACTGGATGGATATGGCTAATAGGGTAGGCTCAAGTATGAGTGTGGATAGTGGAGCAGGCTCAAGTAGCCAGGAGGAAGATGAACCAGAAATTAGATTTAGAGTTAAGGTTGCAAAATAAAGCACCCAGGTCACATGGCTATGAAGGAAGGGTGCTTATGTATTACCTTCTGCATCTGCTTTATGACATTGTCTTTAATTGTGTGATCACATGTATTTTCCACAAGACTCAATCTTTCAGTGCTCAGCATGAAGCTGCACATTGCTCAATGAGGGGGAAACAAAATAATAGCTGCTACTTAAATCAGCACAGTCTGTTTGCTCCAGTTGAATTTTATTCTATTTTGCACACCTTCAAAGGGACAGGCATTCCTCTCTGACAGGTACTTTGTGGCAGCTTTCAGAGTGTGACTAGTCATACTGCACTCAACTATCATGATGGTAATAAATCATGTGTTTGCATGTCATTAAAATGTTCTTAAGCAGTAAATTCCTTTGTGTTCTGTAGCTACAAAAAGCTAATAATCTTGTGCAGCACCCTGGAAGCTGATGAATTAAATCTGCTTGGACTATGCTTGACTAGAATAAGCCTCACTGTGAAGAATGCGTCAGAGAAACCATTTTACCCATATCTGGACCATTTGGATGGTTTCCAGCTAGAGCTTTTTGCTTATTTCTGTCTTTGGTCAGTAGTTAACCTTTCAAATAAGGGCCCAAGATATTTAGCTTTCAATGATTTAGACTAATTTATGGTAGCATGGGTTTGAAAGATCTGATTGCCTCACTTTGGAATTCTGTCTATATATTTTCTGGGTATTTTGCCTGGAATCAGAGGAAAATGCAGGTTAGTCTGCTACTTTTGTGAGTAATTTTTGGAGTAACGGGTGTAATAATTGAATATGGTTCAACAGTAGACTTCTCTTGATTTGTTCTAGAATGGAAAAATATCACATTCAACTGCTCTGCTTGAATTTTCCTGAAATCTATAGAAGAGTAAAGCAACTCCTTGATGCCAACATGAGTACATGAGCTCATGTAGAGCAAACAGAGCAACTGACAAAATGTGCTAAGATTTGAGTTGCATTCAGCTGTTGGTGAACAGGCTTTTGTTTAAACTTTTTCCTGTTTTAAATACGTTGCTTAGATCTGGTGGTGTGCCTTTTCACTTCTAACTTTTTAACTGATTTTTTTTTTTTTTTTTTCCCCAAAGAGTTTGATACTTTCCTCTTCTAAAATGCAGTGATTTCTTGAATTTATTCATGTGTTTACAAAAGAAAATAAAATTCTATTTTTAGGCTGAAGTAAATTTTAGTCTGGCTTCTATTGAAATAGACTTTGTATCGAGGGCAAAATTATCCAAACCAATGTTTTTTAAAAAAAAAACCAAAATCTTACTCTAAATGGCTGTAAACCTACAAATGTTTGTTAAAATAAAACTGTTTGTCTGCTCTTTAATAATGCGCTTCCTGTAATTCTAGTGACTAAACGGCCATCTTCTACTCTTTCAGTGTAGAGATTGGTGAAAGTGTGAGAGGAGAAGATGTGTATATTATCCAGAGTGGCTGTGGAGAAATAAATGACAACTTAATGGAATTGCTCATCATGATCAATGCTTGCAAGATTGCATCATCCTCCAGAGTCACTGCAGTAATTCCATGTTTTCCATATGCCAGGCAAGATAAGAAAGACAAGGTAGGTGAGAAATGTGTGATTTCTGAAGTGTTTTCTCAGCTTCTTCCTTTAGAACTTTGAGATTAAACATACTTTCATAAACATTTTAGAGTTTTATAAGGTGTTTTTCCTTTTGCTCTTCCTTTAATGTTCTACTGTGATAAGAAATTATATAATTTGCAAATGAATTAAAGAAAAAAATTATGTATTGTATCACTTATGTTTTCCTAAGTGATGAGGCCTTCAGTTTGAAAAAGTAGATTCATCCTATATTTG